TAACTTTTTAATAAGATCCTTTTATCAGTGTTGTCAGAGTTTATTCAAATAATGTAACAACCTTAAGACCTACAGCAAACCTAAACCTGTGAACTGAATATAAAAATTCAGAACTGTTATGCCTACACTCTGTGGAATCACTGAGGTATGAATCAATATACGGTGAAAAAAGGTAGCACAAGACGCCATCATAACAATATTACATAATATGTCAACATATTTGAATAAACCGCACACACATACATATATATATGCATGTATGTATATTCTTCCAGTTCTTCATTTCATTTTATTTATCTATTTATTTTTCTGCTATAGGCTCAAAATACATAAGCTAGAGTCACTGAAACATTAAAATGGTTAGTGGCACTCTAGGGAGAGGAAGGATGGGGCATATCAAAATATATTAACTATCTAAACTTTAATGAAGCATATTATCACCATGTATCTATGACGAGGAACGCCCCCTCCCCCCCCCAAAAAAAAAAAAAAATTGGGAAAGAAGGAGAAACAATGATGTGTTTTAAAGGATAATTTCCTTTGGCCCATGAAAGATGTTTTACGAAAAAACACTGAAAATGTCAAAACAAACAAACAAAAGCAATGCCATGCCAGAAAGTGACATATCTGGCCAATTATTGTGTTTATCAATATACTAATTATCATCATCCTGCCTGCCTGGTGCCTGAAGCCCAAGATAGAACACTGTTTTACAACGTGTTAGACATTTACTAAACATTTTTCTAAAAGGTCCATTTCTCCAGCTTGCTGTTGTTTTGTCCGTCCGCTTGTTGAGCTTCTTGTAGCTAGAGGGCCAACTCTTGGAGCTGGAGTCAATGTTGCAGGTTCCTTCTGGCCTCCGGAAGGAAGAGAATGGAGGATATGATTAAAGAAACAATAAGGAACGAGTCTCAAAAAGGTTCAGCATAGAAAGGCCCGAGGAAAACAACAAATTATATCTTATATAAATGCAGAGAATAAAAGATAGGAAGAGTTGAGGAATTCTACAAAAATCAGGATTTTACCTGTAAATGTAACGAGAGATCATAGTGAGATTCCTGAAATACTGCCAACGGAAGTGGAATTTCTTAAAAATATGAAAAGGGGAAAAGCCCCAGGAGAGGATGGCATATTAGTAGATCTATTGAAAGATGCAGGAGAGGAACTTTACACAAGGCTGGCCCATCTGTTTTCACCATGCATAAAGAAAGAACTTTGGTGTAATGGTGTAATGCTATTGTAATATTGCTTCATAAAAAGGGAGATAAAAGAGAACCAAGTAATCATAGACCTTAGTTTATTATCAAATGTTTATAAACTGTTTTTAAAAATTCTAACAAATAGATTGACTAAACCCCTCGACGAAAACCAGCCACGTTTATTTAGATTTAGAAGCGGATGTTCAACCTTGGACCATCTCCATACCATAAACCAACTTATTGAGAAAAGCAATGAATTTAACAAGCCAATATGCCTAGCCTTTGTTGACTACGAAAAGGCCTTCGACTCGGTAGAACAAGAGGGCATTCTAAATTCAATACGTGAGCAAGTTATAAATGGATATACCATAAAACTTCTACATTTTTTTTACCCAATGGAACGGCAACCGCAAGATTTCAAAAAGATTCAGACAAAATAAAGATAGCAAAGGGAGTGAGATAAGGAGATACAATACCACCAAAACTGTTTACAGCGTATTTTGAAAGTATTTTACGGAAGATAAATACTTAAATCGTCTAAAATTTGCAGATGACATAATCCTGATATTAGAAACTGCTGAAGAATTGCAAGATAGGCTAATTGACCTCAATAGGGAAAGTTTGAAAGTAGGCCTTAAACTGAACAGGTCTAAAACAAAAGTAATGTTTAACAGCTAGGTACAAATTGCTAAAATTAAAATCGAAGATTCTTGACTCTTGAAGAAGTTAAGGAATATTTATATCTAAGACAAATACTGACGCTTGATAGAGATTATAAAATCAAAATAAAGAGAAGAATCACAATTGCGTGGAAAGCGTTTAGTCAAACAGTCAGATCATTTTCAAATCATGGAAACAATTTACCAACATTTTTGAAACGAAAAATTTGCAGTCGGTATGTGTTCCCATCTATGACATACGGAAGTGAAACTTGGAAACTAAATAAGTCAACAGAAAATAAACTAAGAAGGGCACAGAGAGCAATGGAGAGGATAATGATAGGGCTCTCACGTAGAGATAAGAAACGGAGTACTTGGATAAGATAACAGATTAAAATAAAAGATATAATAGAACTGATTAAAGAACAAAAGTGGAGATGGGCATTTAGCTAGAAGCTGAGAGTAGAGACTAATCGATTGGTAATCTAAGAGATGGGCAAACACAGTAAGAGACATCAGACACAAGTAGAGAAACACATGGCAGGAGAAATGGCACAGTGGAGAAAGTCATGGGGAAAGTATCTGGGGGAACCTTGGGTTCGACAGGGTGGACAGGGAGGGAGTGTGATGAATATGATGTAGTATAAAATATATATAGTAATGGAGAGTGAATATATAGAAGTTATAATATATATATATAATGATATATAGAGAGGAGATAGGATATATGATACTAATAGTATACACGAACGAACCGAAGCCACACAAAGATATATAATTGTGTCAGAGTTAATATATATAGAGAGAGAGAGAAAGTATACTATATATAGGTTATATAGTTAGTAGTAGATATATATATATATAGTAAGTTGAATAGTTATTATATATAATATTTAAAATGTAGTATACAATCAATGAAGTTATGCGAGAATAGAGAGTGACATACATAGAAGAGAGAGTATATATATATTTATTATATATATAATATATATATATTTGTAGTAAGGATATGAGAGAGATAATATGAATCATTTTTTGAATACACATTATATATAAAATGAAGTTGATAAAGTAGAGTAACCAGTGTGTGAGACATGACAAGAGAGTATATGCTAGATTATGGTGATATAGAGTATAGGATATATATGATAATAGTATAATTATATATGATGAAGAATATAATATACAGTGATACATAGAACACGAAAGAAACATATGTAGACGGGTAGTAATATGATATGGCATATGTATTGATAGGTAATGAATCAGTGAGTAATAAATACTATACATACAGAGATAGAGTGATTAAGATAGAATGACTAGATAGATAATATAGTAGGTATAGAATTGAGATATAGGTATACATAACAGAAGTGATGAAGGAGTAAGTATATATTAAACATATATATATCAGACGACGTGAAAGGATAAGTAATGTAATAGGTAATATATAGATATGAATAATATATAATAATGAATAGTGATATAATATAGTAAATATATATATATTACATAGATGATATCTTAGTATATTGCAAAATAGATATATAGTAGTAATATGAGAGACGCATATAGTGAATAGATATAAATAGTAATAATATAAAGTATATATGAATATATTATAGTATATATAAGTATTATAGTGAGCATACACATAGTAGAAGAGGGATTAGTAAACATACATATATTATATATATATATTATAGAAATGAAGGTACTAATGAGATAATATAGAGTCAATAATGATAGTAGTATATATATAGTGAATATATGAAGTGTAGATATAAGATATTATATAGTCAGTATAGACGTGAAGTCTATAGTATTACCTCCTATTTATAGATAGATGAATATATATATATGTATATATGTAAATATCTGAGGTGATATGTTATAGGGAGTATGTATATATATTTATATATATAAAAGTATAAGAAAGGATAATAACTAACAGTTATAACAAATGAGTATATATATATATCAGAGTGATATAGTATAGATATATATAGTATATATAGTGTTATAGTATATTCATAATATGTATACAGAAGTTAACTATAATAGTACATTTATATATATATATATAGAGAAGTAAAGGTATTAGAGTAGAGTAGATCTATGTAAATGATGTGAGGTGTGTGTGGATAGACGAATGATATGGTATGTATGTATATATAGTGATGTTTATTGTAATATAAAAGTAGAGATTATACATATATATGTATTGTAGTGAGGTATAATTCACAGCACAAACACACGAGCACACACGACACACACACACTCGACGAAACACACACACCATACACACACACACACAACACACGATTACCACACACACACACACACCACTACCACACACAGCACGGAGCACGTGATATATGATATAGTAGTATATAATAGGAATAGTATTATCATAAGTAATATAATTTTTTAGTATATATTATTATATTAATATAATAGTGGGTTATATACATGAAAGCAATATATTATGACCAATGATACATATACACGAAATATATTATTATGTAGTATAGTAATATTAAGGAGATGAGGTATATATATATACATATATAGTATAATGATCATAAGATTGTATATATACTATTATTATATGTATGCTAGTACTATATGTGGAATATATTTAGATAAGTATACATATATGAAGGTGACTAGTATATGTATATAATCAGTATATATTAGAGAGATATAGAATATGATGTATATATATATATAGAAAATGAATTTACCTATAGTGATAGATATAGTAATAGTATATATACGGAGATATAATGAAGGATATATATATATATATATAAGTTAGTAATACCCCGTAAATATATAGAGAAGTATGAATATACGGGGAGTATATAATACTATATAGAAATATATATATATATAGTATATTAATGATATTGAGATATATATGGATATATAGGAGTATAATATATCTATACTAATATACATAGCATATAGGGAAGAGTTATTATATAGTAGAATATATAATATAGATAGTATAAATAGATATATATAATATAGTATAGTATATAGTATATACGAGAGAGTATACATAAAATAATATTACTATAGGATATAATATGAAGTAACGATAGGTACTAGAAAGTGTAAATATATATGTATATATATATATATATAATATATATAATAGATATAATATATATATAATAATATATATGAATATATGAGTATAGACAGAGTAATAGGCCTCTCTCTCTATTAAGGTGAGTTAGAAATATACATGATAGAGATATATATAAACAGTAAGAAATATATCATGGATATACATTATATACTATACATATATATCAATAATAGATATAAAGAACGATATAGCTATTTATATAGTATTATGATTGATATTATATATATGGTATATAGTAGATAAGTGATATATATAGATAATATATAGGTAGTAATCATGTAATGAGTATATATGATAGTAGTAGTGTATATATGTTAATTATATATTTATTTACATAAAATATGCAAGATATAAGATACGCACTATATGTATAAATGCAGAGGAGGAAGGAGCAGGAGAGAGAGAGAAGAGGAGAGAGGAGAGGAGGAGGGATAGTCATATAGTATAGAGTATAGAATCATAGATGAGAGTAAGAGTTACTAATATTATATATAGTTATACAGATGAGATATGATAGTGAGTAGCAGATAGTGAGTTGATTATATACCATATTAATATTATATATATAGAAATAGTCATATATAATATTAGATTATATATATATAGATATAGTGTATTATGTATATATAATGATGTGGTGTGTTGTGGTGGCGTGGATTGTGTCGTGTGTGTATTATGTATATATAGAATACATACCTGGGAGGATAGGGTGGGTTGCACTTAATACTAGAGGTATATTATATTATGATATAAGAATATATATATATATAGGAGATATATATACAGAGTATATATATATATAATATATATATATATATATATATATATTATTTACCGAGTAGATTATACAGATATAGATATGTCAGTTAATGAATATGATAGATAGATAGATATATTATATATATATCATATATATAAAACTATAATATGTACTGGGGTATATATATCACATATGCATACTTACACCACAAACAAGGACACACACCACACACACACAGCACAAGAACAAACACACACACACCACACACACCACACAGAACACCACACACACACACACACCACACACCACACACACACCAAGCACACAAACGACACACACAAACATTATATATAGAGATCTAGGTAAGTAAGAGAGAGAGTATATATTATAATATAATTAGGAATATGAGGATATATTGAGATGGTATAGTATATATAAATATTATCTGCATTAGACAGAAGAATACAATAACATAGCACAATCGAGCACACAAGACACACACATGATCAATTAGATGAGGACTAGATAGATATAGAGAAGTAAAATATGGATAGATTATATATATATATATATATATATAGTATTAATACATAGAGATATGGTATAAGTAGGAGTGGGATAAAGTAGTAGTGTGGAGGTATATATTATTAATATATGATGAATATATATTATATATAGTGTTAAGAGCTATTAGACATATGATGATAGTAATGACAGCACACACACACAGCGCGTATATCAAACGATACACATCTAGATATTTAGTATATATGATGATAAGTAATATAATATATATAGTAGAGGTATGTACACTGAAATGAGTATATATAATTATATAATATTGTGATATATATGGGGTAAGTAGATATATATGAGTAAGAAGTGATCAAGATGATATTGATATAGAGTATATATAATTATGCATAGAATATATATATATACGAGTAATATAGACTAATGGATATAGCTATAAATATAACGACGTATATATAATAGAGATGAGTCCGAATATATATATATATATATAAGATATATGTGATATATCAATAATAGAGATAGTCGGATAATAGTGATATAGTATATATAGATTAAAGAGTTATGGATGAGATTGAGTATATATTATATTATATGTATATATAGATATGAGTGATATAGATCGAGAGTATTGAGAGATGATATAATGACGGAAATAGGAGGGTAATGATTGATAGTTATAATTGATATATATATTATTATATAATATAGTATATATATATACATATAATATAATATTATATATATATATATATAATATATATATATATATATATCAGATATATACTATATATGTACTTATGGAATGATGTACTGTATATGTATATACTATACATAATGTGGTGCGTGGTGTGTGCTGTGTAATTACAATTACAATAATACATTCATATATATATAATGATATAATATATACTATAGATATAAATATATATATATATTAATATATATATATATATATATAATAATATAGGAGTATCATTAGATGGATATATGAGAGTGAGGAGTAGGAGATGAGAGAGAGGGAAGAAGAGAAGAGGAGGAGAGAGAGAGATGAGGAGATGGAGAAGGAAGAGAGAGGGTGAGAGAGAATAGAGGAGAGGATGAGAGGGGAGAAAGGGAGAGGAGGAGAGGAGAGAGAGCGAGGGTGGGGGGAGCGAGAGAGGGGAGAGCGAGAGTCAGGACGAGCGA